TCATTCATTCATATACCAGGGATTGGAATCCACCTTGATTGGTATGCAGAGAGGTAAGCAGCTGCCTGATATTGTATCATGCACCTCCAACTGGTACAACCATCGCTCAATGTGCCCAAGCTGTGGTTTGGAAAATGGTGGCACATGGTCATTTCATGCTGAGCTATGTTGCCCAACAGGAATCTTGCAGGAAGTTCCATGATTAATGATTAATGGAATCCAATGATTGATGGAATCCAAGAATTCATCTACACCCAGGTTACAAACCAGTTCCGATGATTTAGCTAATTACTAAATATAACAACATAATATAAAAAAACATAAAAAGCAGTTATAGATTACTTCTGTGATTAATTTGAACCTTCCATTCAAGTTGGCCTACAAAAGCACAGCAACTACAATTAGCAGTATATCCTGTGAAGCACTTTGAGAAATATCCCCAATTTGACCTGAAACTAAATTCAACTATACTAAATTCAAGAATTACTGTTATTATTTGTCACTCTTTATCTATGGGATATTGAATCTCCAATATTACCATACCTCCAACATAGATGTTTTCAGGCTCCCTTACTTATCACTCTTACTTGTAACTATTATCTTTTGTTTTCATCTTCTGAACCATTTCTCTCAAGATTTTCTCTTTCTTCTCCAGTTCTCTTTCTATCTATTGATCTTGAGTTGGGTGCTAATAGTAGTTGCTGATTATTATATTGCTTCCCTCATCGGTCCTATTTTTGCTGCTGCTGTCATTTCCTTTGTTGACAGCTCTCCTGTCAGTAAAAGAGTCTGAGTCCAAGTCTACTGACCCCCTGTACTCCAGCAAATACATTTATGATCTTTCTGACTTTCAAATTCCTTCATACCTTTCCCCAGAGTATCTTGTTCAGCCCCATTTTTACACCCTCCACTCTGGAAACGTGGGCCTCTAGAATGCCCACCTTCAGTCACATACACTGATACAAATGATTGCACTTGATATCTGTAGGACATCTCAAAACATTTCACAGCAATGTTTATTGACTGTACATTTTTGTGGGGGAACATGGCATCTGACTTGCACAAAGCAATGACCCATAAATGACCAATATGAAGTCCCTTGTCTCTGGAACTCTTTCACTCTTTCCTAAAATCCATTTGATTTGCATCCTACCTTTCTGCTTTCCATAAACCTACATTTTCAATCACTCCTCGGGTCCATTCCCTGTGCAAAAGTTCCTTCTACTTAGCAACATTTTCCATTTATCTATAAAGGCAATGCATTTCTGTACACACTGCAGGGTAGTCCAGCTATAACCATGCACTAAAATAGTATTTGAAGAAATATGTCCCAGTTAGTGCTGGCAGCAACTCAGATATCACCATTCTTGCACATTTCATCTTAAACTGTCCAGCGCCTTGGGACGTCCTCCCAACATGAAAGCCGCTCTATAAATGAAATCTTGTTGTTGTTGTAAATGTGTGCACCAAACCTAAATTTTCTTCAAATTTCTTAAAACCTTTGTTCACCCTCCTACACAACACCCTCTCCTCCACACTTGACACTCTTGCACCTATCACCTCCCGTACTGTCTCCTACTCTCGCTCCTCCCCCTGGTTCACCACCCACCTCCGCTCACTGAAGAGCCAGGTGCGGGCCGCTGAACGCACCTGGGTCAAATCTGGCCTAACGGTCCACCGACAAATCTGGTTGGACCTCCTCAAAATCTACCGCTCCATTCTAGCCTCGGCCAAATCGTCCTTCTACTGCAGGATAATCCTGGAGACGAAGGACAATCCCAGGCTACTGTTCTCTACCACATCCCAACTCCTCCGTCCCCCCAGCCACCCCGCGCAGGTCATCTCCTCCAACCTTCACTGCGAGGAGATGCTGGATTTCCTTGAATCCAAGATCAAGGGAATCCGCTCCGCGGTCACTTCCCCTCCAACATCCACCCACCACCCACCCCTTCCCTCCCACACTCCGACTCCTACCCATCCTCCCCTACACACCTTCGTACCCGTTTCCCCATCCTCTGTCACCAAACTCATCCTCTCCCTGAAACCTACCACCTGCTCCCTTGACCCCATCCCCACTCCACTCCTTATCTCCGAGCTCCACCTCCTTGCCCCACATATCACAGACATCGTCAACCTGTCCCTCTCCTCTGGCTCTGTTCCCATTCCCTTAAAAACTGCCACCATCACTCCCACCTTAAAAAAACCCTCCCTTGATGCGTCGCAGCTATCAAGCTACCGGCCCATCTCCAACCTCCCCTTCCTGTCCAAGGTCCTGGAACGAGTTGTCGCCTCCCAGCTGCGCTCTTTCCTCTCCAACCATTCACTATTCGAACCCCTTCAATCGGGTTTCCGTGCTGCCCATAGCACAGAAACTGCCCTGGTCAAGGTCACCAATGACATCCTGACCATCTGTGACCAGGGCTCCCTCTGTCTCCTCGTCCTCCTCGACCTATCGGCAGCATTCGATACGGTCGACCATACTATCCTCCTCCACCGCTTGTCCTCCCACCTAAACCTTCAAGGCCCTGTCCTTGAGTGGTTTAGGTCGTACCTCTCCCACCGTCTTCACTTTGTCTCCACAAATGGTTTATCCTCCGGCCCCCGCACTGTCTCGTTCGGTGTCCCTCAAGGCTCTGTCCTCGGTCCCCTCCTCTTCACCCTCTATATGCTCCCCCTTGGTGACATCATCCGCAGACATGGGGTTAACTTCCACATGTATGCGGATGACACCCAACTCTACCTTTCCTCCTCTACCCTCAACTCCACGACCACCGATGTCCTGACAGCCTGCCTGTCCGACATCGAGTCCTGGACGAGAGATAACTTTCTCCAGCTCAACGTACGCAAAACTGAGGCCCTCCTGATTGACTCGCGTCAGCGCCTCCGCACCTCAGGCGCTGACAGCATCAGCATCCAAGGCTGCCCTCTCCACCTCTCAAAGCCAGTCAGGAACCTCGGCGTTCTGTTCGACCCTGAGCTGTACTTTCTCCCCCATATCCGCGCCACAACTGGCACCGCCTTCCATCACCTCCGGAATGTCGCCAGACTACGGCACTACCTCACCCCTCACGCGGCTGAAACTCTAGTCCACGTCTTTATCACCTCAAGGCTGGACTATGGGAACTCTCTCCTTGCCGGCCTTCCCAGCACCTCCCTCCACAAGCTGCAGGTCATTCAGAACTCTGCAGCTCGTGTACTGTCCCGCACCAGGCTTCGGGAACACATCACTCCCACCCTCGCTCGCCTCCACTGGCTCCCCATCCCCCAGAGGATCGAATTCAAGATCCTCACCCTCACCTACAAGGCCATTCACGGCCTTGCTCTCTCCGACCTACTATCCCCCTACTTACCTGCCTGTACCCTCCGTTCCTCTGGCTCCGGTCTGCTCCACATCCCCCGGCCCAATCGCCCTACCATCGGTGGCCGGGCCTTCAGCCTCTCAGCCCCTAGGCTCTGGAACTCCATCCCCCAGTGCCTTCGCCGCCTCCTCCCTTTCCTCCTTCAAGGCCGGTCTCAAGACCTTTCTCTTTGACGGTGCCTTCAGCTCCCCTCTCGACTCTCTACCCCCTCCTCGCTCCCTCCCTTCCCTCCCCTCACCATTTCCCCCCTGCTCGGGTCCTGACCCAACTGTGCAACGCCTTGGGACGTCCTCCCGACGTGAAAGGCGCTCAATAAATGGAATCTTGTTGTTGTTGTTGTTTATCTCCATAGGTGGTTTAACCTGAACTCTCATTTCCCCTCCCCGTCCCTTATTCTTGCTCTGGGTAAACAGTATGCCACCTGTTTAACATTTTCTCTGAAATAATTACTATCCTCTTACTATTTAAACCACTATTGCAATGGGTTCTCTAACTATTATCTTCATCTTCTGAATCATTTCACTCGTATTTTTTGCTTTGACTTTTATGAAACTTGACTTGCCTCACCCACTTGCATTCAACAGGTATGTCACCCTAACTCAGTTGGTAGCACTCTCACTTCTGATTCAGATGGTTGTGGGTTCAAGTCACATGTTGGGACTTGGAATGCAGAGTTGAGGCTGACACTCCGATGGGGTTTGCTGTGTTGTTGTGCTGTCCTCGGGTTAAGACATTAAATCGAAATCCCATCTGGCTGTTCAGTTGGACAGTAAAGAACCAATGGCATGATTTGAAAAGAGAAGAGTTTCTCCCAGTGTCCTGGCCAACAGACCAAAGGTGATATGCATTCTTATGTTCTTATATTTTTTAAAAATAGAGGGATTAGGGGATATGGGGACAGGGCAGGTAATTAGAGTTAGGTCTGAAGATCAGCCATAATCTTATCGAATGGCGGGGCAGCTCGAGGGGCCGAATGGCCTACTCCTGCTCCTAATTCTTATGTTCTTATGTTCTACCAATAGTGCTTCTCTCATGTGCTTGCTTGTTAGTTGGGGTTTGGTTTTAAACAATATCTGAGTTTAATTACTACCCCCAACACTGGCTACAATATCATGTAAACAAAATACGATGCAACTTGCTGGTTTATGCAAACAAATAAACCACTTGTGGTATAATTCATGAGTCAGATGTCAACCAATGGCTTATTTTTCTGATATATCGCCCAGTCTGGTCCCATTGTGGACATCTCTGTGTGATCAGCTCGCTGTCCCCCCCTATTCCTCACAAGGGATTCACTATATTACTGTATTCCCATCCGTCTAATCCGTTGCTCTTAAATTGTTTACATAAAACAAAATATTTACATTCTGGGTTAATTGGTAATTCAGTTATTTACAGTCAGGGTAAATTACACAAAAAGATGATTGTTTTACTAAAAACTGTGTTTAATAATTTCCTGTCCGTGCATTCCCCCCGGGGGCCGCTCTGTGGGTGTGTAACCCCGAATGCAGATGATGCACATTATCCGCACAGCGCCAGCAAAATCCCCGCTGCCGTCCTGACGAGAGGGAGGCGGGAGGAGCGCGGGCGCGGGCGCGGAGCCCCGGCGGCGCGCGCTGTGGCGGGGGTTCTGCGCATGCTCGCGCTGCCCCGATGTGTGACAGAGGAGGCGAAAGGCAAAGGTTTTGTGTGTTGTGCGGATAGTGAGACTCTCCTCTCCACATACAGGCGACACACTCCCGGAAATCTGCCCTTTCATTAGGTGGCGTCACACTCCCACACGGCGGACATGGTGTCCGTCTCCCTTCGTCGCTGAGAAAAACGTTGTGGACGGGAATCTGCACTATTTCTCTTTCTTCCGCTTTTTGTATTATGGGTAAAGAACAGGAACTTCTGGACGCCGCTCGGACTGGGAATGTAGCGGTGGTGGAAAAATTGCTCAGTGGCAAAAGGGGATTATTGGGCAGTGGATCGAGCTCCATCCCACTCTCCAGTCTCCTGAGGTAAGAGCCGGAGAGGCTTCAGCACTGTAGTGACTTGTGTACACGCTGCACATCCTGTTACAGTCCAGTCAGATAATTAGCACAGACACAGCTCCATCCAGCACTTAAGAAATTAAAAAGACGATTGAAACGAGAGGTATTATTGGCCCTTCAGATTTGGATTGATTTAAACAGCAAATATGCATAATAAAACTCGTATGCCTTTTCATTTTAAGGACAAATCGTCCCTTTTTTCTAACCCAAAGAGAATTTCAACAGCAAGTTTTACAAATTAACGTGAATGTTGGACAAGATAATGCATCCGGTTAGAATGTTGTACAGGTGCAGAAAGTAATCAAATGTTGTTGTTGAAACGATGGCCACCTTTATATATTTATGATAAGGAAAAGTTGGGAATATGCAACTGTGGGTGATCTAAGCATGAGCAGTGCACACATTTAACAGCCTCTTGCAGACTAGCATGGGGTTAAACGAAAATACCAAAGGATATCTGGATGCTTAAGAGAACATCTTAAATGCAAGGGGAAGGGGTGGAAACACTTGGTTGGGGGAGGGGCACTAGCACTTAAATATGGACTAAAAGCATCGCAGAGAAAATGTAAGGTAAACAAGATAGAGGATGGCGGTTAAAGAATGAATAATCGCAGAAATAATAATAATGATGTTTAAATAGCGAGGCGAAAGGCCATGTTGTTAAAGATAGTACACATTAACTTCTGGTATCGCAATGAACAAGCAGCTTCGATTTTGGGGTTTAAAGATGACTGTTTGGGATGGGAGAGAACAGGACAAAGCGGCACAAAAGAGGCGATTCCTCCCGGCGGCGGTGTTTTGCATTTCATTTGTTACATTTGATTAAATGGTAATGGTACATTACCTAATGGCACATTGTAAACGTGTGTTATTTTAACCTCTGTCTACGTTCGTCCAGCTTCACAGAGGTAGTTTTTTTTGTTTATTTGATATATGTTTGGGAACAACATTATTTTGTAAACAGCGTTTCTGGATAAAAGAAAGGACGGATTAATTGACAGCGGATTATGTGTCACGTTAAATTTCAATCTGATAGGTTATTTGGGCGTCGGTGGTTTTATTTCAAGAACTTGTTTTAAAATCCAAATTCACGCTCCTTGATTTGAAAAGATCAGCCTCACTTTGCAGGAGAAAGTCCTCTTCGAATTATTTGCATAACATGGCGTTGCTTCAGCAACATGACGGCTGGATGTTTGGAATAGCTGGGATAGTTCAATCGGGGCAATAGTTTATGGATGAACACAGACAGAGACATAACATATAACCCATATCACCGCAGTATAGTGACAGTTATTTCCTTCAGCAGTTCGTTTATCTCTAACTGATGGATAGTTGTTATGCATCAATCAGAAGAAGCTAATGTTATCAAAAAGCTGTGTTGCGAATTGAGAGGTTCTTCAATCTCTTTATGTTCATGAATGTAAACAGACTGAGCATAATTTAATTCAGTTAAGTGTTTCTTAAATTTAGCTGTAAAGAAAAAACATCTTAGCAAAAAAAATGTGGTGCTTCAAAAATAAGAAACGGTAACATTACTGTTGTATTCAGCATTTCTAGATTGGATACATTAGGCTATATCAAAATAATGTATAAATGAACTTTATATAACAAGTGAAATAATTTGTTTGCCACTTGTAAAGTAAGTTCCATTGTGCTTACACAAACAGTCACTTCGAAACGACAACTTGAATTCATATATAGCGCCCGTCACGCAGGACAGCGCCCCACAGCGCTGAAACACTTGGCAATAGGTCCCGTGAAGTGTTTTGAGACATTTTGATGTAAGGCACTGAAATAAGTTATTTTGTTAACATGAAGAATCAATCATGTCTGTCCAGTAATGGGTTAGAGAGAGTCATCTTATTCAGAGATTGAAATTACATCTCCAAGCATGTTATTGTTCAAGGAGTTTGTGTTATTTTGGATGACATTATTGTCTTGAAGTTACTCCTAATTATTAATTATTTTTTAGAATGTATTCTATAGATTTTGTGTGGCAGTTTAGTTTCACTTATAGATTTTTGGGTGCACTGTATGTCTCATTATGGATATAAACATCTAGAATGCATTTGTGCAATTGATCTATGGTGATGGTCAAACTGAAGAATTGTTTTTGATGTAATCACTCAAAGTTTGTTGAGTTAATTATGTGGAACAATACATTATAACTCCCATTAGAGAAGGTATTCTGCTTAATTACCAACTAAATTTCCCTGTCTGCACCCTTCCCCATGAAAATATAAATAAAGTTTTGTCCATAAAATGCAGTAACTTTTTACAATTTTACAATGTATCCTATGAAGCGCTTTGAGTCATCCTCCTGATATGACAAGTGCTATATCAAATGTAAGTATTACAAATTCTCATTTATATTTAGTGCTGTAATGGTTTTGTAAATATATACATTTTTTGTGAGGTTTTCAAGGGGGTAAAACAAAAGGCAGTCAACACAGTTCCAGTTTCAGAACTTCCTTTAACATTAGAATTCTATCAAAAGATGCTTTAGACATTTTGTTAAGGAAATTACCTTTTATGTCAGGAATTTCGGAAATAGGGTCACTTGAGATGGCATTTACAAGTTTCAGTTGCGTGTCTTGGTTATTGTGTGCATGTTATTTAAAGATTAAAATTCTAATTGCTGTTAGTCCAAACCAAATAAATATGCCAAGTAAACTGTAAAAGTGCCTTTTTGATATCACAGAAAAGGTGAAGCTCCATTTTGGGGGCTTAAAATTCTGGGTTCATGCTGCAGTTGCACCAATTGGCTGACAAGTATTAAAAGCGAGTTCTCACTGGAGGCCTCTTTCACCACTGTTCTCAGCAGCTAAAACACCAAGTGGCTGTGATTTTAAATCAGTACATTTGTGGAATGTTTGATGTCATTGTATTGTATACAATCGTGTACCTAATAATTGTAGTGGAATGGAGTGAGGGGGAGGGGGTGGTGGTCGTTTGGAGATAGTGGTTAGTAGGGCGGAGGGGGTGGTGTTGTGGAGAGAGAGCAAGGTTGGAAACAAAGTTGCTTGATATTCTGACACAGTTTTTTGTCACTCTTGGTTAATGTTTGGTCCATCAGAAATAGTGTAAAAGATTCTGTGGAGCTTGTGTCCTCTCCCACAACAGGCTCCTTGACCCTAACACCCCCACTCTTGACCGGCTCCACTGGTTCCCATCCCCAAGAAGATAGAGTTCAAAATCCTCATCCTCGGTTTGAAAGCCCTCCACAGACTTGCTGCTCCCTATCTCTATGACATGCTAACTCCATATAGACCTGTTCGCTTCCTCTGCTCAGCGGGCTTCCCCTGCTCCACGTCATCAAATATTTGGGAGAGCACGGCACCCAGAACCTCAGATGCATCCGTTTACACAATAAATGCAGCTTTGAAGTCAGGGCTATGTAATAACGGATTACTGCACAACCTTATCTTAGGTGAGGTTCTACTGTACTTGGTTTTGGATTTCCCAAGGGTGCACTTGCTGAGGATCGCTGTTAGACGATCCGCCCTTAAGGAATCCAGAACCACAGCCACCTGGCGCAGATGGGGATCCCAAGTTGAGCTTTAGATCACAATGTCATCTAAATAGGCTGCAGCATACCCCTGGGGGAGGGGGTGGGGCAACACCTGGTCTATAAAGTGTTGGAAGGTGGCCGGAGATCCATGGAGTCCAGAGGGCATTGTAGTGATGTGGGATGGCCCAAACGGGGTGGCAAACGCAGTCTTTTCTTTCCAAATAAATTTGACCCAAGGGCAGCCCAGGGAATGGAGTGTGCCAGCTGAATTACTTTACCTTTGAAAACCTGGGGCACTAGGATTTGTAACGTTATTTCGCTGGACCGTTGGTGCTTATCCACCTGATATAGCAAATCATTAATCATTTCAAAGTGTGGAAATATGGTCGCTTTTTCCTGATTGATGACTTTCCCATTGGATATGCAGGTTGTGATAAGACACAAGTTTAAGCTTCTCCCCCTCTGGCCTTCCACCTGCAGTTATCTAGACACAACTGTCAAGCTGCTAAATGATCACCTCTCCTCAACTTTCAATTCCCTCGTTCCCCAGAAAACCAGGTTAGTTTCCAAGCCTACCCGCACCCCTGGTACAACAGTCACCTCTGTCCTTCATATCCCAAACCCAGTTGCTTGAGCGCAGATGGCACAAAACTGGCCTCACGATTCACCGCCAACTGTGGCTCGAATATCTTCATACCTACCTCCGCTCCCTCTCTCAAGCCCAAACTGCCTTCTATTCACAGGCCATTCTTGTGGCCAAAAATAACCAAAAGATAATATTCTCCACAACCCACCACCTCCTCCATGGCCTCTCTCAAGCCCCCTTGATCCTCACCTCAAATACTAAGTGCGAAGAGGTCCTGGACTTCTTTATCGCCATGATCAACAACATTCATCTGGCTGCCTCCTCCTCCTCGCCACCTTCCCCCATGTCGCCTACCACCCCCACAAGCCTCCTTCATCACCCTCTCCTCCTACCATGGCACACACCCTACACTCATTTACCCCCATCTCTCCCATTTCCCTTTCCCCCACCATCACCAAGATGAAGCCTGCTGCCGACACCCTACCCACCCAGCTTCTGATCACTCAACCCCACTCCTCTGCCCACTTCTGGCTGACACAATCAACCAGTCTCTCTCCATTGGCTCTGTCCCACTCCTCCTCAAAACCGTTGTCATCACTTCTCTCAAAAAAACTACCCTCAATCCGTCCAATTTGACAAATTCCAGACCCATTTCAAACCTGCCCCTGCTGGCCACAATTTTGGAATGCGTGGTTGCCAATCAACTTTGCTCACAACTCTCCTTCACTCCATGCTCTAACCCTTCCAGTCTGGTTTCCACCCTGCCCACTACAGAGACAGAGCTTGTCAAAGTAACAAATGACGTCCTCTCTCTATGTGACCAGGACTCCCTCTGCCTCCTTATTCTCTTCGACCTCTCCACCGCATTCA